CACCTTTCCGCTGCCTATTCCTCCTAAATGCGGGGCTTGGCCCCAATTCTGCCATTCGGCATATTACATTTTTACGCCTTGAATTTCCCCACCGCAGCACACCTTCTGACCCCAACATTCTTAGATCTTTACCATGTGGAGTGCTTTTGCCTCCCTTGGTGTGTTTTTGTACTTGGGCACCACTTAACACCAGCTTGCGAGCCAGCTCATCTAGAATCACACGTTCTGCATCATTTTTCGATTCGGAAATCTTTCTTGCAAGCGAGAGTGCTGTTTCACCTTTAGCATTCTTGATATCGCAAATGGCTCCTCTTCTGATCAACAGTTCACACATGGATCCATGGCCTTCTCTTGCTGCTAACATGAGTGGAGTATAACCACTGCCATCAGGGACATTAACATCATAACCCCTACTTGTTAACAACTTGACTGCATCCAAGTCCCCACGACGTGCTGCACAATGTAAAGCATAGAACCCTCCAGCAAAACGGTTTCCCTTTTCAAGTGCAAATTCAAGCATCACCTTCTCAAAGAGGTCACGGTTCTGGTTCAACTCAGAAAGCATAATTGCAGTTTTGCCAGATTTGTTGAGCAGCTTAACATCAGCCCCAGCAAATACCAATAGACGAAATACTTCAACATGACCCTTCAAAGCAGCGACCATGACAGCAGAGAAGCCATTATCATCCTGATAATCAAGATTAACCTCTCCCCATCGAATTAGAGCTTTCAAGGCCTCAATATCACCAGACTGGGCTACAAACATCAGGGGAGAAAAGACAGATATATTGCTTGATTTTGGAATTTTTCCAGCTTTAATTACATCTACTACTGCTTGTTGAAAACCAAGGGACCACCAGTTTGAACCAGCAATTGAACTTGTGGACTCACCAGCAACATTGACTAACCCAAAATCAGCACCAGCCTGGGCCAAAACCTTGAGACAATCTTCTTGCTTATATTTCACACATATCATCAGAGCTGTGTCACCAGATTCTGTCTTGGAGTTCACATCACAACCAAAATCAATCAGGGATTGAAGAATGGTGGACAAGCCAAGACGTGCAGCAATGTGTATAGGACGGAACTCAGTTTTCTGGGTTGTTATTATAGGGCATTCTACATTGGCACCACAGCCCAGAAGGACATTGACTGCTCCTGAATTGCCACAAAGGATTGCATGGTGAAGGAGGGTTCTTCCATAGTGAGGACTGTCAGGGGAAACGTATTGCAGGAGCATGCGTAAGATAGAACCACTAACTTCAAAATACTCCACTGCACACCAGGTGATCGCATAGGGTTCAGCTAGTCCAGCACCAACTCGAAATTCTTCACCTATAGTAGTGTCCCATGACCATGCTCCAAGTCTTACTCTAATATCTGTGTCTGCACCAGCCTGCTTCATTTTGGAATCAAAAGAGGTTTATCAGTCATATGAGGAAAACAAAATTAATAGAAAGGATATATAAATTAAAAAAAAAAAAAAAAAAAAAAAGATTATCAGCATATACGATAAAAAGTTTTTATATCCAATATTTAGTTAGTCGAACAGATCAACCAATCATGTATGCAAGGAGCATGAGAACTATTGTTCAGAACAAATCAGCATCCGAAGGTACAGATCCAGCTGTACAGTTGTTACATAATCACATTTCATACAGGAGACCCATCCATTGGCCATTAAAGGAATGACAAATAGAGTTCCCAGAAATGGGCTCCTACAAACTTGGACTTTATAGTGATCCATTTTATTTAGAATTCGATACTGAAAATGGAGGGGGGAAGCTCACCTGTAGCAATAAACGGACAACAGAGACCTGCCTACTAACAACAGCAGCAACAAGTGGAGTACAATCTACATTAGTGTGAAGAGAAGGCTTGAATGACTGTAGTAGAAATCGATCAGTTGCACTCACATCAACTCGACACTGCCATTAGGAACAACTATGTCATTAACAAACATGTAGTCATATAATAACTGATTTAGGAGATTACTAAATTCCCTAGAAAACATAATAAGAAATACATAACAGCAGAACAATGATTGCTCTAATTTTTGTTTTACTGCTAGGGTCTAACTCTTCTGAAAATTGCTACTAGACAACCCACATTATTATCAAGTATGACGATTTACCTTCATGATAGTGTCCACCACATCCACAAATCCCCTGCAGCATGCCATGACGAGAGCATGCACAGCAACATGGGGCCGAATCAAATCAGAACCCATGAGCAGCTCTGCAAGCTTTGCTCGACCATGACAGCTTGCTTCTATCAAAGCCTCTTCACAAGCTGGCTGAGAAGCCCCGGCTTTAAGCAAGATCTCCAGAATCTTAAGATGGCCCTCCCTCACTGCTACCGTTGTCGCAAAGCCCCTGAAGAGTTTCTGGTTCACATCAGCTCCAACGCTCTGTCATTTCAGTTCCAATCTTCAGTACATTGCAAAGATGGTGAAAAGACTCCACAAGATATCATTTATGCTTTTCTTTAAAAAAAAAAAAAAAAAAAAAAAAATTCTCTTTTGTATTTGCTCAAAATCTTAATAAGGTTAACTATACAAAACAAAATTACAACTGTAGTAAGCATCTTGGTTTCTTCACTGAGAACTGATATTCATGGCCACACACGGACAAAAATTGGTGTAATGGACAAAGAAGCATGGAACTTTCATGAAAAAGTAAGTGAAGGTTCATTAATTAGAACGATGAGGGCGATGCATCATCATTCATGTATGTGTACTGTTATGTACTTCAGGGTTTGACTAATTATCAGACAACTCAGCATGGGCCTTTTGCATAAAATATTCTCCATTAAATATACAAAATATCTAATGCTTTAATTCCATCGCCTAATTACAGATATTACTCTCAAAGATTATGGAAGGGATTCCTATCTACTATGTATCTAGTCTTTCAAAACGGAACTAAAATAATACTAAAATAAAATTGTTCAATGAATGCAAATCAGATATGGGACCGGAACAGGAAAAAGCATTAAAGTTAAGAAGACAGTGAATCTTTGAAGATACAAAAGGGGTAATGAGCTTTATTTTCTAAGTTAATTCCCGCAGAACGGAACATAACATGAAACCTTAGCTTCTTCAATCTAGAAAGCCAAAGATCGAAAAGTGCAAAAGAATCATGAGATCAGCAAATCTCAACAATAAAACTAGAGGAGGAAAAAAAAAACTAATCTATTGTCTCGTAATAAATTTCATAAGAGAAGAAAAATATGCAGTTTAAAAGTTTTGATTTCACTTAAATCAACAATGTGGATAACTAGAGCTTGGAGTCTCGGCTTTAAGTCCTCTACACCAGTGATCCGATCAACAGTGTTCGAATGCAAATTTGATAAAGTACTAAAATGTACAAATAAAAATAAAAATTCAATGAAATATGAACAGAGGACACTTAACAAAATCCAAATAATCATAGAAGCACGAAAATATTTAAAATTCACTTGAAACGACTGTTCAAATCTCAGTTTGCTTTGGCAGTGATCTACATGTTTTGATAAGCAAAACTTAGACTCACTTTCAAAACGTTCATAAAATTTTTTTTGATAAAAAATATATCACAAAAACGGTGGAAAAAGTCCGAAACGACAATGCAAATAAAACAGTAGAATAAATTTGAATTCGTTAGCCCATGATCTGATCATATACCAGTAGTTTCTTCACAAGAGTGACATTTCCACTATGAGCAGCTAAGAACAGAGCCGTAACGTCAGTTTTAAACTCCTCGAACTCAACGCAAACTTCGCTCGCCGATTCCTCGCGAAGCACCAACTCCGTCTTCCTCGTCTTCAAGCAAACGGCGCCGACAAAGTTGACATCGACGAAAGGATCGGCGATGCACTCCGTTGCCGATTTCAGATCGCCGGAAAGCGTGGCTTCCAGAAGTCTCTGAGAAACCTCGGCCTCGTAGTCCACCGGCACCACCTGCTTAACGGAGACAGAAAACACCGGCATTGTGTCGTCCGTGAAAAGTGCCGCGAGGCTTCAGTGCTGGTGGTGTACGGAAGGGGTGCTACTTCAGGTGAGTATTCTAAGTTGAGCTGGATTTGATTTTGATTTTAAGTTTTGAGTTTGTGTCTGGAGACACGAAGCTCGAGAGAGAAGAGAAACTTGAAAGAAGAGAGCGCCAGGAAAGGGAGAGGGAAGGCTTGTATTTATGGGGTTAGTATTAGCCTCAGTTAAAAACAATAAGCTGTTGGATTGAATTAATTATTAATTGTTGCTTGCTGCAGTCAATAGTGTGTTATTTAAAGACGTGGGACCAGATTTAAAATGAAAGGATATGTTGACGAGCCGCAATAAGGCTCAGCTGGGGAAGGATTTTGCATATAAATCAGGGCCGTCAATTGATGGCTATATGATTTTGGACAACATCATCATCAAACAACCAATTAAACTGAATAATAAAATTACTGTATAAGAAGACCAGTTGTTATGGTTAAAGCTTATGGAAGACGATTCACGAATCNAAAATATGGTTTTATATAGGTAGGATAATTGTGTAATTATGTGAAATATATGAGTATTAGTGAAAAGTATATATATATATTTATATATTATATATGAGGCAGGACGAGGCGGTGCAGGGGAAAGGCATCACCACCCTCGCCCCATCCTCGAGGACGGGGATTAAAACGCCCCTGCCCCTATCCCCAAAAAAACCGAGGCTTCCCCGCCCCATATGGGGTGAGGCGGGATGGGTACCCAAAATTTCGGGGAACATTGCCATGCCTAGATTGGATTGTGGATCTAGATTACTGTAAAAAAAAAAAAAAAAAAAAAAACTATTGAAATTTAAAAAAGAAAAAAAAAGAATTTAAAAGTTATGGATATCTTTGTAAAGATTGGGCCTCATAGGCCCAGGATAGGTAGCGATGCGGTTTAATTGTTAAACATAATGGGCTTAAAATTGGACTCTGAAATCTCAAATGAACTTTCGAAAATTTCAGTCAAGTGGCATGCATGGCGGCTGCTCTAACTCAACCATGTTCCTATCAAGTAGGTCTCGTATTATCAGGAGACTGTTTACAACTAGATCAGCCATTGCATGCACTGAACATGGAGACCTTCTTATCTTGCCTCCAAATACTTACCAAATGTCGGTAAAAGTAAAACCCCAATTGCCTTGTCATGTAAACATGTTTGAAGTCAATTCCCAACTGAAGGAACTAGTCAAGGCCGGTCACTTAAAAGATGCGCGCAAAATGTTCGATAAAATGCCTCACCGAGACGAGATTTCATGGACCACTGTGATCTCTGGCTATGTCAAGGCCATGGACTCCACTGAAGCTTTGGTGTTGTTTTCAAGAATGTGGGTTGAGCCTGAAATGAACATGGACCCTTTTGTACTTAGCCTTGGAATCAAGGCTTGTGCACAAAATGTTAATGTTAATTTTGGAGAATCATTACATGGGTTTACCGTTAAAACTGGTTTAGTGAACTCAGTTTTTGTTGGTAGTGCCCTTGTGGATATGTACACGAAAATTGGAAAAGTTGAGCTAGGTTGTAGAGTTTTCAATGAAATGCCAATGAAAAATGTAGTATCATGGACTGCTGTTATTACGGGGCTTGTTCGTGCTGGTTATAATAGTGAGGGGTTAGTTTACTTCTCTGAGATGTGGAGATCAAAGGTTGAGTGTGATTCATACACTTTTGCTATTGCATTGAAGGCATGTGCTGATTCAAGTGCTTTGAACTATGGGAGGGAGATTCATAATCACACAATAAAGAGAGGTTTTGATATGAGCTCATTTGTAGCCAACTCTCTTGCAACAATGTATAACAAATGTGGAAAAATAGACTATGGTTTGTGTTTGTTTGAAAGAATGAACAAACGTGATGTGGTTTCGTGGACAACAATAATAACAACTTATGTTCAGATGGGTCAAGAGGAAAATGCTCTTGAATCATTTTTAAGAATGCAAGAATCAGGTGTAAAACCTAACGAGTACACTTTTGCTGCAGTTATCTCTGCATCAGCCGACCTTGCAAAGATTCTATTGGGCGAGCAGTTACATGCCCATGTTTTATGTTTAGGTCTACAAAATTCTTTGTCAGTGGCCAATTCCATCATGACCATGTATTCAAAATGCGGCAAGTTAACTTCAACTTCTATGGTATTTCATGAGATGAGCCGGAGAGATATTATTTCATGGAGCACCATAATTGCAGGGTATTCTCAAGGAAGTTGTGGAGAACAAGCTTTTGAGTATCTATCATTGATGAGAAGAGAAGGACCAAAACCAAATGAGTTTGCTTTTGCCAGCGTGCTGAGTGTGTGCGGAAATATGGCAATTCTTGAGCAGGGGAAGCAAGTACATGCCCATGTGCTATGCATCGGATTGGAACACACAGCTATGATACACAGTTCTCTAATCAACATGTACTCAAAATGTGGGAGTATCATAGAAGCTTCACAAATCTTCTATGAAACTGAATGTGTCGATATTGTCTCATGGACGGCCATGATTAATGGGTATGCTGAACACGGCTACAGCAAAGAAGTCATTGATTTGTTTGAGAAGCTTACCAGAGTTGGGTTGAGACCAGACTCTGTGACCTTCATTGGTGTTCTTTCCGCTTGTAGTCACGCAGGACTGGTTGATCTTGGTTTCCACTACTTCAATCTGATGAGTAAGGAATACCAGATTAATCCTTCTAAAGAACACTATGGCTGCATGATTGATCTTCTTTGCCGAGCCGGACGACTTAGTGATGCTGAGAACATGATCAAAAGTATGCCGCATCAAAGGGATGATGTTGTTTGGTCAACTCTGCTTCGAGCATGCAGGGTCCATGGTGATGTTGATTGTGGAAAACGTGCTGCAGAGAAGATTCTTGAATTAGATCCAAATTGTGCTGGAACACACATTACCCTTGCTAACATTTATGCCATGAGGGGGAGATGGAAGGAAGCAGCAGAAGTAAGGAAGATGATGAGATCAAAGGGGGTTATTAAGGAGCCTGGCTGTTCTTGGATTAAGGTAAAGGATCAGGTCTATCCATTTGTTGCTGCTGATAAGCGCCATCCTCAGAATGAAGATATATACCTCGTGTTGGATTTACTAGCTTCAAGGGTAGAAGTTGCTATCCACGAATTGGATTCTCTTCTACATGATGTTGATGATTAGCAGAAGCGGAGTCATATTGAGGTTTTCTTCTATAACAGGGTCGCTTATCAAGGGCTTTTATTACAGTTAACTGCCAGCTAGTACATGTTAATAGAAATAACAAACAGCAGTAAGAGCTTGTTTTTGCGTTAAGAATATTATATTGGACGAGTTATGGATTACGAGCGAGAAAACTAAAGAATGAGGGCATCCTTGTTGAAGGGAAGGCCTAAGAAATCAAATGAAATAGTCTCCATCTGCTTCTTGAACGATTACTTACCTATTCAGGTTTTTTAGTAATCAGAGCAGTGTTTATTTCCTCCAACTGAAGATAGTCTGCCAACTTTGGCTGAAGAGCCTGAATAATCCGGTGTTCTGTTGTGCAGCACTCTGATGGTTTCCTAAGGCTTTTGGTGCTTTGTACCTAAGAAAATATCGAAGTTAGAGACTGAGTATATTCATGATAGAAAAGATTTTACATGGAGCTCATCTTACCATCTGTATTATTATTGTGACAAGTTAATTAGTTTGGAGATGTCGAGGTTTTGTGATCAGAAGTTAGCGTTGACATTACAATAACAAGATTTAAACGGGACGAAACAATATTGGTTGAGTTGTTGTACAAAGATTGATTTATTTATTTTGTCTTGGATGGGCGAAAGTTAGATTACTCCATAGCATTCTAAACTGTATAACCAGATAATGATTATTATTTTTTTTAAATTTCTATTTTGATTTTTTCCATATCCAGATCAAGAAACAATTGTCCAGTTGCAATTTCGTTTACTATTTCGATGTTTCTAAATTCATGTGCTCAAGTGTTTTCTTAAATTGGAACCATTTAATTGGCCACAGCAAAAGTTGTCGGATAATTTAACTTGCTCAAAAACCTTAAANATTAGTTTGGAGATGTCGAGGTTTTGTGATCAGAAGTTAGCGTTGACATTACAATAACAAGATTTAAACGGGACGAAACAATATTGGTTGAGTTGTTGTACAAAGATTGATTTATTTATTTTGTCTTGGATGGGCGAAAGTTAGATTACTCCATAGCATTCTAAACTGTATAACCAGATAATGATTATTACTTTTTTTAAATTTCTATTTTGATTTTTTCCATATCCAGATCAAGAAACAATTGTCCAGTTGCAATTTCGTTTACTACTTCGATGTTTCTAAATTCATGTGCTCAAGTGTTTTCTTAAATTGGAACCATTTAATTGGCCACAGCAAAAGTTGTCGGATAATTTAACTTGCTCAAAAACCTTAAACAGTAAAGAATATTGGAAGCTAATGTGAGTTCCTGTCTGGAATTTCATTGGTCTGGCCGCTGTTTGATCTGAAAGAATGATATTAAAGCCATTGCTTGATGTGTGTACACATATACATGCTGACAAATATCATAAAGTTCAACGTATGATGTTAAGCTCAGTTTCAGAAGCAAGATTATACATTTTACAAAATTTCATCTTTCATCTCTAAACCAATTGCGAATCACATATACAGCAAAGCCTAAGCAAAAGCCAGCAGCCCCTAAAACAACTATTATCCGTACCCATAAATTGGAAAGATAAGCTTCCAGCACAAAAGCATGCCATACCAATAACCAAACAGTGGAGAAAGTAAATCCCACTGCAGCGCCCACGGCCACTTGACTGATTGTATGAAGTTGTTGAGAGACTCTTAGCCATGACTGCAATCAGAGATGATTAAGTAAGATATAAGCGACTAATTCATTACAGCATGTTAAACAGTTGAAGATTGATGAACTTTAAAACGAGTCTATTCTATGGAAATTAATGCATCCACTGCATATTTGGTTCAACGTGACCTAACAAGTAACCGCTTTAATCATCTCTAGAAACCAGACATGCAGTCTACTTTGAGATTAAAAAAAAAAAAAAGAAAGAAAAGAAAAAAAACGCAAATGCTATGGCCTATGTACTTATTCAAACTGGCTCTGTCACTCCTTTGATATTGCAAAAAAAAAATATGCACTCTTAGTAATCAAAAGCTAGAGGATTATGAGAAATTAAAAGGGAAAAGAAAATAGAGTTATCATTTGATCACACAAGATTTGCTCAACCAGATTTTGCAATTGATAAATATTTGAAATTTCTACTCACAACATACTAGAATGGTGATATTCGGGCACTATCTTCTGCCCAGAAAAATTACATGCATTTAGTGCTGGTATGACTAAAAACCATTCAACTTTTGAATCAAGATAAAACTTTTTCTAAATTTTACAGTTTTGTCACCACGGAAAACAGTTGTTTAGTGGTGCAGTGAATAAATCAAGAATTATCACAATATTCTCCACTTACCAGTTACTTCAAAATTTCATATTTAGTTATGGGCATTATATATCTGATGAACTAGCTGGATTAAATTGTAGTTTCATATGAAACATGAAGAATTTGCAACAATGTACTGACTGGCAAGAAATTCAAATAGCAATAACAATCAAATTTCAAGTTTATATGGACTTAAGTTCACTTGTTAATCATAATGATCTTGAAGAGATTCAAATTTTTAGTCTTCACATGATTTGTAGACTTTACAGTTTTCAGCTGATAATAGCAAGGAATCTGCTAAGACTTTTCTTGAACACTGAGACCATGGATCACCATCATATATATACTGCATTAAAGGAGCCAATTATCATACTTACCAGATATGAACCACATGCCATGGCAAGCCCACTGATTGCAAATGTAGCTCCACTTAAACCCAGTGCTTCCTCAACTGCAAGATCGTAGAGAAAAAATATTTATTACATGTCTAAACAAATCCAGAACAGTGATAATATACTCACTAGTAGCCAACCAGGGATTGACACTCATGCCAGCACACCCTTTCCCTCAGAAAGGGGGTCATGGCAGACTCATTATAGGAAGAAATAATATCGGATTGCAAAAAATTATATTTGATTGTTTCTTATGAATTGAATTGCATTATAAAGTCCACATTTTCCACAAACGACAGGAAAAAATGAGCCAATGTATTTCTACAGACTTTAATAACTGTAGTTTCTGAATTCGCAAGATAATGTAAGACCAAGTTAAAACACAATGAGTGTGATGAAATTAGTCAGTGTAGTATGCAATTTAAACCATCAACCAGCTCAATGGTTTAGAATTTTGGAACTTGGCATATGAAGACAATTACATTGCCTACAGCTTATGCAGCCAACACTCTTGAAGTGTTCAAATATTATTTCTATTACAGGTGCTAAATTATCCACTGCAATTTGAGGAGCAGGAAGCATACACTTATATAAAGACTCACAAGCTTCACACTTAAACCAAGCATTTATTAACCCAAAAACATCATTGAAAAGAAGACATAAAAGACATAATGAATTTGATTAATGCTATAAAACGCACGAAGCAATTACCTGACAGAATAATGTAAGTGACAATGAAGAAAATAGATTGTGCATGAGAAGATGGCATCCCAGGATCGGATCTTGAAGTGGAAACAGGTCTCTCTTGGTTTAAAATCCGTTTGAGCGTAACTGATAGAATAGCATTAACAACAGACCCCATCAAAGCCCACAAAGCTTCAGCATCATGCCTCCAAATAATCACACCACCAAATGATGCAGCCACAATCCACTTGCTCTGTTAATAATACCAAATAAACTTATCAATACACTACAATAACTTGAATCTACTGTCTTTCTAAGTAAAGTTTCTTTGTTTCAAATACACACAACTAAATAAGCCGAATCAAAACCTTTCCATGATAAAATTGCTCAATCAACAATAATAAAAGATTCAAAGAATGATTGCAAAAATCAATATTGACAAGTTCCAGACAAAAGATACGAACCAGACGATTGAGCGTTGACTCCAGCCGAGCAGCTGCAACCTGAGACGACCCATCAATTAAAGCTTCTTGTTCAAGCACTCTAACATCTTCCTCGACATCACTGCTACTCCTACTATCTCTAAACGAAGACGTTTTAACCATTTCGGTCATAGTTCTGGAAACAAGTCGACCGCATAAAACGGGCCTCTTGGTAGAAAATGCAAGAAATAAACTAGGATTCGAAGACTTAAGATTAGAAGAGCGAATTGACAAAGTTGTGTAAGTGGGTTGGTGCAAAATATTGGTGGCTGCTGATGACATCTTTGGTCACTTGAACAAACAAAAGACCATTGTTTATCGTTGACAGTACAACCGCAAAGATTTATAGTGATTTTATTTAATGTGGGATGAATTGGTAGAATATAATGATTGGTTGAGAAGAATCCAAACTGGGTATCTGGATTTTAAGCTTCTTGGATTCCCACGCGTAAGCCGATTGGTTTTGTTTTGATTGTCAGGTTGGACATATTTGGTAAGTAAGCCTTTCTCCATTGAATTTCATCCAATTCAATCATGTAAAAAAGAGAATTTCGAATGTAAATTAATTGAACTAACTTTGAACTGCACATAATTACAGACAAAAATTCTCAGTCAAGTGGAATAAAATACTAAAAGATCAGCTAAAAATATTAAATAAATAAGTTATGTTTAATAATTGATACCCATTTTTCCCACACACGTAGTATTGAGAATAAGTTTGGCGTCTAGCAGATTTTGTAATTGAAGTAGGAAAGCCGAAGCAATTTCATGGAATCACATTTATGGGTGGGTAGGAAGAATTCATATGAAATATGTGGTTTTGGTTTAATTGATTTTCTTCAGGGATGGGCTCCAAATCCATGTTGTCCATATGTTCACCATTTCCCAGCTAGGTCTAGCATTTAACAGACGATTAAAATAAGTAGTGTAGCATTTGTAAAAGTAAGGAATTTATTATCAATATAATTTTATTAAAAGATAATGAAATTAACTCCTAAGATTTTATAACTATTTATGTCATTTAAATTAAAGAAAATGCTTTCAAGGAGGGAATTTTTATTACTAGTTAACAACTACCAAAACAACAATATAAGTAATCGTTTAATCTATTGGATAATGGTGATGGCATGTTGCTAAGTAAAGTATGTGATTTTGGTTAATAAATTGACTGAGTCTTTATTCATCTCCAATTGTTATCATGTGAACATATAAATAATTTGGAATTGACAATTATAATAATATAATATATTAAAAGGCCTTTACAGTTTACCAACAATTGCTTTAATACTTTTAATCTAAAATAGAGTTTATAAAGAGTTTTGATTAGCTAACTCTATTATTATTATTTTCCAGAAATCTACGGTTTGTACTTTTGCATACGGCCTGTGATTTTTTATTTCAAGAGGAGAAGTGAATTTTAGGCCCCATCAAATTGGTCATTATCCTCTCTATTTTTAAATGTATTTTTGTTCTAACAATTTCAACTTTAATGATGTGATAATTTCTAAATAAACTCATTCTCTATTTTATATTTTTATTTTAATTATTAACCTTTAATTTTCACATAAACCCTAAATCTACATTTTCTAAATCATTAAAACATTTTTTTTTTTTCAAATTATTCTTTGTTTGAGGTATTACTTAAGCTATAGAAAAAGTAATCGCATAACGAGATAAATCTGAATCTGAAGAAGAAAAGGGTAAATTTCAATTTTGAAATTTGAAATTGGGAAAAAGGGTATAAATAAATAAACCTAATTAAAAAATTGAAAAAAAGTTGTGTAAACAAAAACCCTAATTAAATTTGAAATTAGGGGAAAAGGAGAGCAAATAAACACCCTAATTAAACTTATTAAGCAGCGCTATTTTCAGTATTAAATGGGGTTTAAAGATAACTTTTTAAAATATAATAGAGGAATTTCTAGCAATGGGGGATAATGATTAATTTGATGGGGGCTAAAAATCACTTCTCTTTCAATAGGCAAGGTTAAATGTTGTCCATATTTGTTGTTGAATGTTGATACAAGAAATCCCAACAACGACAAGTACATGATTGACAATGTTAGAATCACGTTGGATAAGTGATAAGACAAAGCGATTATGTATGAATAACAATTAAACACAAGTGCAAATAACAAAAGAAGGTATTTAAAGTGGTTCAGTTGTTTATAATGTAAAACCTACATCCACTGTTATGTATTAAGCGCATTTACGATCTAAGTTACAAAGAGTTATCTCAAGTTCTCTCTCAAGTTCCCTCTTTTCTCAGCCCAGTCGTCTCTCTATGCGTATACCTTGCTATCGCCCCAAGCCATATTAGGGTCTCCCTAAAACACATTAGGGTTTGGTTTATATAGCACTTATTACAAGTTTAAAATATTGGAAATAAACACGGGATCTTTTAGAATAGGAAGACAACTTGATCTTCGGCTTTTGATTCGAGAGTTTGCATCGCATGATATCTCTTTGTCAAAGTTGAGATTATCCTTTCCTAATTATGAATTATCATTTCTGGAATTACCGCATATCATTTGTTAATGGTCCTTCGAATCTTTATAAACAAAAAGAAGGCGGACTTTCAATGTTCAAGTTATTATTAACTGATTTTCGAATGAGTGATTTTATACAAGAGTGGAACTATTGACTCCTACTATTAAACTAAATAAGCCCCACTTCTTAATATATCCCAATCGACACAAAAAAAAAAAAAAAAAAAAAAAAAAAAAAAAAAAATCAATCTTATAAAACCCCATATATTTCACAATTATCCTGCATTTACTTCTTTTTCTTTTAAATCTACACCCATAATCTCGTTGTTACTACTACCATTCTTCATGAATTAGTTTAAGATGAATATATAAAAGAAATCAAAAAAAAAAAAATAATCCTATAAATCAAATCCATAAAGTCACCCAATCAACAACACAACCCTAATTGTGAAGCAATTTATTTTTTAACAAAATTTCTATCCTTTTTTTTTTTTTTTTGGTAAATGGTAATCTATTAAAAAAAAAAAAAAAAAAAAAATGAAAGAATGAGGCCCCAAATAAGGCGAGCCTCTTACAAGAGATCATGGGTCCTGGTCCTCCTGGACAAACCCAGCGACCCAGCAAAAAGTCAAGGATTTACGATCTTCTTGCGTAGGCCTAAATAGCAGACCCGCAGCACAAAAAAAGCAGGTCCAGCAAAATAAAATAAAAACAAGAGCCTGCACATATATACACAAATTACATCCAGCACAAAAGGAAAGAGACTCCTTGCACATCACAAGGACAGCAGTCAGCAGCAAAAGCACCCAAGACTAGGACTGTAAACGAGCCGGCTCGGCTCGGCTCGGCTCGATAAAAGCTCGTTTAGAGCTCGGCTCGATAAGGCTCGGTTTGACTCGACTCGAACTCGGTTTGTTAACTGAGTCGAGTTCGAACATAGTGAAGCTCGGCTCGTGGGCTCGCGAGCCTGTCTCGGCTCGGCTTGATTAAGCACTGTACACTTAATAGGGTGTTTTGGTGATTTTTTAAACTATTAGGTATTAAACTGATATTTTTTAGTGAAAAAAGTTAAAAAAAATGACAGTTCCACCCCCCCAAAACCAAAGTGCAAATTTGAAATAACACGATACATCAAAACAGAGCATCAATTACTCAATTTCAGTTCCCCATCCCAGTTGCCCTAAATCCCAAATCGCGAACCAGACACTTTGAAATCAGTAATCTCTTAGGAATGTTATTTGTATATATTCAGAACTGTTTTTTGATTTTGTAAGGTAATAGACATTTTGTAATGTTCAAAACTATCATGGTTAATTCAACATTGAATGTAAATATGAAATACTGTACGTAGGCAGATTGCTGTAAAAAATGGGAACTTGGCTCGATCAAACCTGGATAAATGGTGGTTTGATCGAGCCTTATCGAGCTCGATAATGAGCTTGCGAGCCCTTATCGAGCTTGAGCTCGACAAGGCTCGCGAGCCTGCTCAAGCTCGACTTGAGCTCGAGCTCGAGTCTCAATTTTGAGGCTCGCCAGGCTCGAGCTCGAGCTCAACATTGTTGTAAACGAGCCGAGCCCGATAAGCCAAAAGCTCGACTCGTTTACACCCCTACCCAAGACCGCATCTCAGCAGCTTCAAGCATAACCCTCTAGGAAACCAAGCACCCCAGTTAACTAAAAACCAGCACCAAAACTCCCCATGGACAGCAGGACTAAAGACAAGCCAAAACCACATATCATCAGCAGCTACAGCAGGATTTATGGAACGGCCAGTCAACTTCTCAAGCAACATCGCCCAAGCAGTCCTCCCACCACGCAAAATCACAACAGAGCAGCAGCTTGCCTCACACTTGGGATCACGCCCGAAACCAAACCAGAGCCACTCAACGGCCCACAGGCAGCTCACACAAGAAAAAAAACATATAAACCAACCAACAGCAACTCAGCAAACCATAGACAAAGGCCACATCACAAACGCTAAAAGCCACACCCGGAGGAACAAACGGGGCAGAAACAAATTTCTATATTTGCACCACAAATCCATCCACTTAAGCAGCAGAAAAGAATTAAGCATCAGGGTTTAACTCAAAACAATCTATCTCTGTTCCATTAATATTTGATAGAATTTGAGGTGGGTTGACTCCTCACCCAATAAGGCATTTTTCAAATTCTATCAATATTGTTAAAAAATTGTCTTCTTCCGTCAAATTATCACTCTCAAAATCATTATTTTGAAAAATCCAGCTCCTTATCCACAATGCTTGAACCACTTTAAGCCGACACAAGGATTCCCGAGAAACAATTTTCCACAACTAGCTAGGGCCAACTTTTTACTTCCTAATATATACACACACTTGTGTGTGTGTTTTCTTATCTTCCGGCTTTCGAGATAATGCAAATTATATGGTACACTGCATATCTTGGATGATTGAAATAATAATGTACTGCAAAGAAACAAGGAATTCATGCCAAGGCAAAGAGTATGTGAATAAATAATGGAGCCCATGTGCTTGAAATCAAAGGCTTACTATATTCATTAAAATCTCAACCAGTTCCTCCATGATCAGAAGGCTAGCAAGAAAAACAATCAGGTCAACCTTAAATTAATGGAGGAATGACAACCAAAATGTATGCCCATTTTTCCATTAGAAACTGATACTACTAAACTTTCACTTCGATCCGTAAGTTCAATTATCCTTAAATTAATGCAAGTCTGTACTTAGGTATATTAGCACTTAATTTTGGTCATATAAACTTGAGAAGAGAAGAGCATAAGGGATAAACGCCACAAAAATTCAAAAGAAGACAGCTGAGGAAGTGTAAGGATTGTAGAGTGGGGCCGCGGGATTAGGAAGAGGGGCTTTTGACGCGTGTATGTTTGTGGATATAAAGAGGGGAGAGAACCTTTTGAGAAAAAATCACTTTAAAGAGTAAAAGATAGTGGCCAATTGTTCATCAATCAGCCTGTCAAACTTCACTCTAAACGTACAAAGAGAAAGGGGTCTACACTCCACAATCACGGAGGCCTATTCCAAGAACAAAAG